GTCCAGCAGCATCAACTGACCCATAAAAATTAAATCCTTTCACAGCCTGTAGCCTTTACTCTAGCATACTAATCTTGAAACTTTTCTAAGTTTTCACTTTTATCTTTTCTTTTTCCTTCTCTTTTAGATCATCTAGATCAAAAATTAGTTATACTACCTTTTCAGTGAAGACAGGATTTACATAGCTATTATAATGCCCTAGATTGGAAGCTGACGGTATTTCAGGATATGTTGGATATGTGAAGTGTTGCGGTGAAACCTCTTGAGTAGACTGGGCTTGAGGTGGGTCAAAACTTGAAGGATATAAAGGGTCAGCCACTTTTTGCAACGAGAAAACTTGTTGGCTTGTATTTTTTTCAATTATTTTTCTCTTATTCAACCTATTAAGAGCATCCAGAATCTTACTTAACTCACTTTTAATCTTTTTTTATGCTTTTTCTATCTTTTCAAATCTGTAAAAAATTTTTTGCTCTATTTGTCTGGCTTTGGATCTTGTGTTGTATCGATGGGCAGGGTTCTTACTAGATGGAGCTATCCTTGAACCTTTAGCACCACAATTATAATTTTAAAATGTTATGCTATGCTTTATGTATGATGCTTTGATGTACGAATGAAATGTATATTTTTTTGAATGAAATCTAATATGAAATGGATGCAAATGATTGTGTTAAAACATATCATGAAAGTAATGCAGATGCATAAAATCAGACAAATAACATAGTTAGTTTCATGGATGAAATGAAAGTGATGCTGATGCATAAATATTACATATGATAATGAAAATGATGCACAAAGTTAAACAATCAAAATGATTAGATAAACACCTTTTTTGTGTCTTAATTTCAGGGTATATCTATCATTAGGTAGAAAAGGCTCTATCCTAGATTTAGGCACCTCTAAGGTTCACTATATGTGGTTCAAGGTTAAAATCTAAAGGTTTTCAAATTGCTCCTTACATCATTGTCTATCACAGACTAGTAAGGTACCCTCCCTAATCCTCACTCATTACAGGCTACAAACAAAAAAAGTTCAATTTGAATGGGAGTATTTCACTAGCCACTACGAAGGCATTAAACCTTACGAAAGTAATAGGTACTTTACTCCCTCCTAGAGGGACGGAGCTCGGGTGTAGAGCTCATATTATGCACATGCATATGAATGACATAATTAACAAGGTAAATAAACATGAATGAATAATAATACATATATACAAAAAGGTTCAATTTTATTAAGCTTTTGGATAACATAAATTATTTGCTGGCCTGACTCTCAGAGTCCCTAGTGGAGTCATCAAGCTGTCATAACGTCTAGATCCGAGGATCTATCGCTAGACATTGACTTAAAGAGAGTCGCCACCAATCTTTTTTATCTAGGTACGATTGGCCAACTAAAGAATCTGTTCTTTCAAGGAACATCTAAGTTTAAGGGTTCCTAAAAGAATAGGTTCAGGTCTACTAACCAGAACAAGGTTTGAGAGTTCGGTTATGTGTGAGGAAGGTTATAGCACCCTCACAACGCCCATCAAAAGATGGTACCAACTTAAATTTGTGTTATCCAATGAGCATTAAAAATTTACCAAGTGATTAATTATTAGAAATTATTCTCAATTGACTCTAATACTTTTAGCAAAAAATTAAGAAAATTCTCTCACCTCAGGAGTATGCAAGAAAAATTACTGTTTCACTTGCAGAGACTCCATCGTCGGATTATTTAACATTAAAAAAAATAAAAAAATAAAAAGAAAGAAAAGAATGATTGTTTTTGTGTAGAAAAAATTGATACTTTCAATTTTTCCCCAAAAATATTCTTTTGAAACTTTAATTTCGAGGAAAATTGATATTTTCAATTTTTCCTCAAAAATTTATTTTTTGAAAATTTTTAGCAAAAAACGAAGGAAACAACCTTATATACCCTCTCAAAACGACGTCGTTTTTGCGTTAAATAACCCAGAAGATCCGCGCATTTTATCGAGATCCGACCCAACCTGAGCGTTGACTCGTTTTCTGATCCGCGCGTGTTTTACCTCCCCGAGTCATTAGTCGAGCCGAGCCGACGTCTCGAGCCATTTTTTCGAGTCATTTTTTTTCCTTGAGCCGAGCTTAAAAGAATAGATTCAGGTCTACTAACCAGAACAAGGTTCGGAAGTTCGGTTACGTGTGAGGAAGGTTATAGCACCCTCACAACGCTCATCAAAAGATGGTATTAGCTTAAATTTGTGTTATCCAATGAGCCTTAAAATTTACCAAGTGATTAATTATTGAAAATTATTCTCAATTGACTCTAATACTTTTAGCAAAAAATTGAAAAAATTCTCTCATCTCAAGAGTATACAAGAAAAACTATTGTTTCACTTATAGAGGCTCCATCGTCGGATTATTTAACATTAAAAAAAATAAAAAAATAAAAATGAAGAAAAGAATGATTGTTTTTGTGTAGAAAAAATTAATACTTTCAACTTTTTTTCAAAAATATTCTTCTGAAACTTTAATTTCGAGGAAAATTGATACTTTCAACTTTTTTCCAAAAATATTTTTTGAAAAATTTGATTTTCGAAGAAAATTGATACTTTCAACTTTTCCTCAAAAATTTTTTTTGAAATTTATTTTTAAGAAAAATTGATACTTTCAACTTTTCTCCAAAAATATTTTTTGAAAACTTTGATTTTCGAAAAAAATTGATACTTTCAACTTTTTCTCAAAAACTTTTTTTTTGAAATTTTATTTTAAAAGAAAATTGATACTTTCAACTTTTCCTCAAAAATATTTTTTGAAAACTTTGATTTTCAAGTTTCAACTTTTCTTCAAAAACCTTTTTTTGAAATTTATTTTTAAGAAAAATTGATACTTTCAACTTTTCTTCAAAACCTTTTTTTTGAAATTTATTTTTAAGAAAAATTGATACTTTCAACTTTTCTCCAAAAATATTTTTTGAAAACTTTGATTTTTAAGGAAAATTGATACTTTCAACTTTTCCTCAAAAACCTTTTTTTGAAATTTTATTTTTAAGAAAAATTGATACTTTCAACTTTTTCCCAAAAATATTTTTTTTGGATTTTATTTAAAGAAAATAAAATAATAAAACAAAATAAAAGTGAAAATAAAAAAAGTAAAACAAAAATAAAAATAAAATGAAGATAAAAGAACATTATTTAATCCTAACTTAATAAATAAAATAAAAAAACAAACAAATAAATAAATAAATATAAAAAGAAAAAAAAATTGGAGCGGCTCAGAATACGGCTTGGCTCAAGGAAGAGAAACGGCTCGGAGAAGCGGTTCGGGACGTCGGCTCGGCTTGGCTAACGGCTCTGGGAGGTAAAACACGCCCGGGTCAAAAAATGGGTCGACGCTCGGGTCGGGTCGGATCTAGGCAAAACGCACGGATCCTCTGGGTTATTTAACGATAAAACGACATCATTTTAGGAGGGTATATAAGGCTGTTTCCTTCGTTTTTCGGCAAAAACCTTCTCCCCTCTCTCTCTCTTCCTTTTTTTTCTCTCACTTCTCTCTAAAATGGTCAAAGAACTCCGGTTGAATATTCACCGGATTCTAAAATTTTTCGTCGAAAGTTCGTCAAAAAGTTGGTCGATTTTTGGGAATCTTCACCGAAAACTGGGCAGCTGGCTGAAAACTTCAAACTTGGCTGGAATTGTCACCAAAAAATTTAACTTTCGTCAAAAAATTCAATCGAAATTTAGAACTTTTTAGAAATTCCCAGAAAAAAAAAATCGTAAAAATTCTCCAAAATTTTTTGCTAATTCCTATAGCTGTTCTAAATGCACCAAAACCTTCCTAGCCTTTAAATCTTCTCTGTATCTCTTTTTCCCTCAACCAGTATTCTTTTTGCTTATGTTTTCTGTTTTCCCTCTTCCTTCTGTTCCAGTACCTATTTATAGAGATTGATCAGAAGAGTTTCTGATCAATCCCTATTCATTTTTGGATGGGGATTCAATCTTTAAATCTAATCTGGATTCTAATTGAATCCCCATTCACGGTAGGATTCTTCAAAGTCTTCAATCTCAACCCAAAAAAAAAAAAAAAATCAGATAAACGAAAAAAAATAAGATAAACGAATAAAAAAATTAACAGATAATTAAAAATAATAATAAGATAAATAAAAAATATTACAAGATAAATAAAAAATAATAATAATAATAAATAAATTATAATATAATAATAAATATATAACTAGATAAATAAAATACATATATAAATATTAACAAAATAAATAAATAAATAAAGATATACATATATTAATACATAGTAATAATAAATAAATAAATAATAAATACATAAAATACAAAGGAAAAAAATAAAATAAAAATAAAAAATAAAAAATAATATAAAATACAAAATAAAAGTCAAATTAAACTTACTTATTTGGATCAAGTCTAATTGATCCGGACTTGAACCAAATTGAATGTCTACAATATATACATCAGAAACAAGTATTCTAATATAATTAAGAACGTTTCTGCGATGCCCTTACATGATTAAGCTCCCCCGAAGCGGTTCGTAGAAGAAAGCTGCGGGCATCACCAAATTGAAGATAATATAAATCTCAGAATACTATATATGCACAATTTTGAAGCTTACAACAATATACTGTTTGAATTGCAATCATGCTTTATTCTCATCTGGCATCAGTCCAAATCTCTATAACTGATACAAAGGATGGGTAAGTTTTTATGTGTCTGCAGATGAAAGAAATATATACGATAAGTTTTTCATGACTCAAATGATAAAACATTAATGTTTAATTTTAGACATCTCTCCTGGAAATATACATACATGCTAAGTCAAAGCTAAAGAATCCATAGGATATACATACATGCTAAGAAAGCTAAAGAATTTATAGGATCCCTCTTTACAGAACAGCTGTAGTTTGGTTTTTCTTTTTACTGTTTATTACTAATGTACATAATTGGCCAAGCAGGTATGGTTCATTACCATCAGTATCCAGAGATAACATGCATGTACATATAACCCCATCCATACAAACATATAGCTAAACACATTATATATTAGGGTTTTCTTCCTTTCTTTCCCCTTGTTCGAAATTTACTTCTTAACTAAAAATCTTGCAGAACTCCAACCATGAGTAGAGGTGGGAGCTACGGGGGCGGTCAAAGTTCTTTGGGGTACCTCTTCGGTGTTGATGAGCAGCCAAGAGCACCAACTGTAACACCACCGATCCAGCCTCCATATGGTATAGATTTTACCCCGGAGAAGCCTCCGGCCCCAGAAAAACCAAGTTCAGAGAAACAGACACAGAAAAACGTCACCAACAACTACCATAGGGCTCAAGGACAGAATTCAGGGAACTTCATAACAGTGAGTTATTATCAGATACGATGAAAACCTCTTTGTACTTCATCTAGCTAGCTGTGCATCTCTGGGGATTCATCACTGTGAGTTATTATCAGATATGTTGAAAACCTTAGTACTGTTATTGTAAAATTTCAGGATCGTCCATCAACAAAAGTCAAATCAGTTCCTGGTGGAGATTCATCCCTGGGGTACCTGTTTGGAGACAAGTGATGCTTCCTTCTTACAAGTTAAGTACGTGACTTGAAGGGATTGAAGATAACAGATAAATGGGTTTGAAATAGTACATCTACAATATTTACAAAATAAGGGATTCAATTCCCATATCAGTGTTGAATCTTTATAGTAGCATCGTGTGGGTATTTAATTTTTCATAACTCTGTCCAAAAAAGAAAAAAAAAAAAAGGATTTCAGTCAAGAACAAATACAAAGTTCTAATATTGAAACTTGGTAGTGCTGCATTTGCTGTGTTCCTTCTGAATTCTTGTATAAAAAACTATAGACTTGTGAACTAGAAAAAATTCTGGAATTGTTTATGGATCTGCCCCAATAACGCATGTCTGTTCATGATTCAGTTTGACCAAATTTTCTGATTCCAACTCTCTATAGTTTATTATATACAAAACAGAAAACATGGTTTTCTTGTTTAATTTCATGGCGGCCATTAATAGGAAGCAATAAATCGAATACTTTCCTATTTTAGTAACTTGTCATCAGCCCCACTTGTCTAATTGCAACTGTTTTCAGCATCTACATCAACTTAACTGGAAGTTAGAACTGACCTTTCCTTCCTTGATAGTCTTCTATGCAGTGTTATTATAGAAACTGGCTTGCATAAGGACTCAACTTTCGATCATTCAGCTATATTTTTTCTTTTTGTTATGAGAATTAACCAAACTCTCGATGCGTGCATCCGAGTATTTAATTCAATTTTTAATGCATGTATGTTTTTCCTGTTCAAAAAGCTAGATTCGGACCCACCAGTTCCCCAATATTAAAATTAACTTTCAATCCCATTTTTTTGTTCATGATTCATGAGAGAGAGATATGCTGTTATTATTGGTTCTTATCTGTAATTGGTTTTGTGTTCTTAATAAATTAATTAAGTTGATCAATGCTTCAGCAGGTGTTGTACTGTAAACCTTCTTCGTTAATACTAGCGTTATCATCATTAATATATCATATGTAGACTCGAGTATTGTAACATTCTTCGTTAATAATGGCAGCTAGCTTTATTTTCTAATTTACCATAGTTCCTTTTACTTCATGAAGTGACCTTTTAGGGCAATATTGCATTAGGTTCTCCGTATTGTAGCTTATATATTATTAATATAATTATGTAATCAAACGTAATATTAAAAATTTTGATATTTCAAATGTTACAATGTTGATTTTCCGAATTAATTTCATTACGTTTAAAATGGACTTTGTTTAATTAATTTTGACATGTTTTGAGTTCTCAATTAATTAATTCTAGAAAGCATGTATTATATTCTGCTGCTTAATACATAATGTTAATAGAACTAATATCTTCATAAGATAGATTACAGAAGAAATTGCTTGATTTTTTCCAACTAAGAACCTTGATTTCTTTTCATTTCTTTTTTTTTTCTTGTTTCATGTTAAATTTAGTGTTTTTGATGCGCATGAGAGACTTAGATTGACCAAAATTAATGTTTTGTTGGTTTTGGGGAAAAAAAGTGCATATAAATAAAAAAAAAATTAAAACGTTAAAGAAGGTCTTTGTTTTTCTCTTTCTTTTCCATGGTTCCATCACTCTTGAGTTAAAAAAATATTTAAAAACAAACCAAAAACATGGGTCCATGATCGACAGTACAACATCCACAATCTTTGCACTGAGCTCTAGAACTTCCATTACCTAGTCTAGTACTAATAAGGAAGATCTGTGTCAGTTTGTTCTGGTCATATAAGAAACTGAACTAACATCTGGTCATGTAAATATCCAAAGGAGATTCTCTTAATGGACTGGATCTGGATTAAATTTCACAGATTCCCTCCAGATAAGATCTTTGATGTTATCTTCAGTGAACGATGATTGCTCAAAATCAAAACTGAAAGGCCTAGGACAGACAGGCTCGTCATTGATATCGTGAAGAGATGCCAAGTATGGGTGACAAAGTGCCTCATCAACTGCAAGAATAGATGCAAGCAAATAATCACTGATATGGAGAGACCAAAAAATGAGGAACAGTCTGAAATGCTGTGCTTGAAATTCTATTTCTTGGCTTGTACCTGTGATTCGTTTGTTGGGGTCAAATACAAGCATTTTTTCTAGTAGATCAACAGCCCCGGCAGACATATTTGGGAATCTAGCTGAAAACTGTTGCTTCCTACACCGTGGAAGCTGTCTAACATACCTTCGGGCATTATCACTTCGGAGAAATCCAAGACTGGCATCATCAGGTGAACCTATCAACTTTTGGACAAAAAAAGAACGTACAATGTTAAACATTAACAAACTGAGAATTACTACCCGAATGGCAGCATTAAAACGAAAAGGAGGCCAGAGAGGCTCCTAACATGCAAGATGGTACAAATTAATATAACTTATGAACTTCCAATAAAGGCGCTTCTTCTGGATCATCATACAGAATGAACAGTTGGACACTAAAGCCCTCTTTGTTTCCTTACAAAACCCTAATCCACCATTCAAAAATATTTCCAGAAGTTCACGTATCAAATTTACTCTAATGCTAGTAACACTAAGGAAAAGAATTGGGACTGGACAAGAATTATTTTTAATCATTTGTTGTTTTCCTTATTGTCCAATATAAGAACCATCACATATATGTGTCAATCAAGTCTGCCAAGCTGCTTGTACCTAAAGTGGGCAGTAATCCCATCATCAGGGCCATGAAAGGGCAGATGCAATACCTTTCTAGACTTATTGTCAGGATAAGTCAATGTGATGAGATTCAGCAACCAGAAATGAAATTCCCAAAAAGACGAGAGAGAGAGAGAGAGAGAGAGGAGGATATAAAACAAAACTTTAAAGCAGATCACCCTATGTTTTGTATCTTGAAATCATATCATAGATCATGTAAGACCATAGCAAGAATACTTCCACAGAAGTTGATTACCTCTGTGATGAGTCTCAGCTGATGAACATAATCTTTGCCCGGAAACAGAGGTTCTCTTGTCACAATTTCACCAAGTATGCAACCAACAGACCAAATATCAATGGCAGCAGTGTATTCTGAACAATTAAGGAGCAACTCTGGTGCTCGGTACCACCGAGTGACAACATACTCAGTCATGAAATCTGTTTCAGATGTCGTCCTTGCCAAACCAAAGTCTCCGATCTTAAGGTCACAATTTGCATTCATAAGCAGATTGCTTGGCTTAAGGTCACGATGCAAAACATTGGCAGAATGTACATATTTCAGCCCTCGTAACAACTGATATAAAAAGTACTGCAAAGGTTTCATTCAGTATCAGTTTCATGTTTTATTCACCATTAAACAAAATCAAGGTATTGAAACATGTTATGATATTTAAATTGCAAGAAATAGATAAACACGATAAATTTCCAGGGCAGAAATTCAGATTCTAATCTGCTTTTTAAGGTTTCTGAATCAATGTTATCATTGCTGTTCACTCATCTTCTTGTGAGAAAATGTTTTGAAATAGGGGCTGCAAACCTGTGGCACTGAGGCTTGCAATCGTAGTCCTGCACTCCTTAAATCCTCAAACAAAGGATAACTGTTATGGTTTGCTCAATAACACTAAGTATCAGATGAGTGCCATAGCAATCATTTGTTCATATTAGGGCAAAGGTCCTTGCCAGCTGTGGCCAATTAGTGTAACCTAGAATTTCTCCAATTTACACACTGCACATCACAGTACTTTCCAGTCCCCAGTTTTGTAAACAAATTTGATGGCATCTATCTAGTTAACAGCTTACATGCAGTGTTTGTTGTTTCCTCCATTTGATTTTAAATCAATCAAGGTTTTGGTGAAAGTATGATAATAATATCTAGAAAACAAAAAATGCAATGTGAACTACATTAAGTTCCCCTCTGTGATGAATTCCTTCAAAGAAAGAACCAGTCACCTCACTGAGTTGTGAGGAAAAGTTATATCAGTAACATAAATGTCCTCAAAAACTGTTCATCCAAACCTGACAATGATCATCTGTCAATGGTTGGTCAGAGCAAATTATCTGATGAAGATCAGTGTCCATTAATTCATAAACAATGTAAACATCATTGAAAGTCTCCTTTTTTGGTGGTCGAATGATGTCCTTGATGGCAATAACCTGCAGGAAGAGAACTCAGTAGTGGTTCCAGGCATGATAAATAGACTGCAGATAGTTAGAAGAAGAAAATTTAACTCAAAAGAAATATGCGGATCAATTTAGTCAATGTAGAGAGGATATATATAGTAGCCACACAACAAACCACACTTTACATGTATATAAAGCAGGTATTTGTCATAAAAATTCTAAATAAATAAACAGTGAAAATGTGTTAGCTCTGATTGAAACTCTTAACCTAATCCCTTTGATTTCAGCATAAGTAATCCAAACACAAGCACCATGATTCATGAACATGAACGCAAAAGCTGCTAATAAACAGCTGCTAATGCTGGAGCAGCTAGCCACCTGATTAGTTGCTAAGACATTGTCAATAGACTGCAATTGGTGATACTAAGTAATAAAAACTCAAAATAATCAAAGACTGTCATAACCAATGAATGCATAAAGAATGCAAGAAAGGCGAAAGAAATGCAAATGGTGAGTCATAGAAACCAAAAATTACTTATGAGCTCTATAAAGAGGAAGCTGGGAAGTGGGAACACAAGAAATGGCATCATTCTTAATCGGCCACACTCCAAGGAAATGTTAAAAAAAGGGCTTGGGAACGTTATGCAGTAGATGCATAATTATCCCTGAGAACCAAAAACCAAAGTTGCAATTTCTGGAAATTATAAAGAACATGTGCTTACATTTTCATGGTCCATGTGACGAAGAAGCTTAATTTCTCTCAGTGTCCTTTTTGCATCTATCCTATTATCAAATGCATTTCCAATCTTCTTAATGGCAACCTCCTCACGTGTCTCTGAATTAACAGCAGCACTGAAAACGAAAATAAACAAAGCCACATAGTTCACTTCCACATTAAGAAAGCATCATAATGCCAATTGGTATATGGAAACACAAAAAAGCTTTGTAAACATCTTCTACAGGCATAAGCAAAGCATCTATTTCATTTTCTTTTCCTACAATATGGCAGACTATTCTTAGAAGAATCCCTAAACCCATCAGTTGGAAGTCCATGCGCTTTAACCACATTCACCAAAAAGTCAAATTACATATAACAGACACTTAACAACAAGAGCAATGGTGAACATATAAATTAATTTATGCTATATGGTCTGATATGCTAACTATTTATTGTTAAAATCAAACTGATTCAATCATGTGCCAAACTGAAATTAAAAAGAAAAATCAATAAAAAAAGGAAGCCTCCAAATCATAGAGAACAATCATTAGCCAGGGAACTCAGCAACTTCATCAAGGACAAATTCTAAGTTTGCCAAATGAAAGAAGCTTAATTTTAACTAAATAACAACATCACTCTACATTGAAATCAGTAGATTAAGGAAAAAGGTGTTTGCTTGACTATGATACATATAACATATCATCCCCAAAACCTCAAGTTATAAAACCCCTTTTTTTCTTTTACCAAAACAAGGGGAAAAAAACCTTTTTTATGATTCAACAAAAACAAACCCACAAAAGAACAGAACATGAAAAACACAAAAAAAAAGGAAAAAAAACAGAACAACCCACCAAATATTTCAACAAAAACAGTAAAACGAGCGTAAATAAACAACTCCAAAACTTACCAAACAATGCCATAAGCACCTCTGCCGATTGGACGAATAGGAGGCACGTACTTACTGGACACCTCGAACAAGTTACCGTAGACATTGTACTGAACATATTTACCTCCATGAGTCAGAACTCCCTTGATATTGCTTCGCTCTGAGCTTGAACTTTTTGCACTGGCCATTTCCTTCTTAATGTTTTTGCCTTCTCTGCCTCACCTCTGTTTCTCAAAAACTGGGTTTGTTTTGTTTCAGCGCTATATCTGGAGAAGCATTGTCTGCAATTCTGTTTAGTTGATTTACTCGTAGATTCTTTTTCTCTTTTGTTGATTGTTGGCCTTCCAAGCTCAATATTTTGTTTGAAAATAGGAAGAGAGGTTTTTTTTTATCTGATAAAAATTTTTTGTTTGAAAATCCGTGAAATGAAGTAGACTTTTCTTCAGCTTAAAAAAAAATTAATCTCACCAATCTTCTCAAATTATAATAAAATAATTAATATATGATATATAAATTATAAACTTATTAATTAATTAATAGTTAAAATATTATTTATTCATCATAATTAAATAAATATCTTATTAATTAATATATTAATATTTCATATAAGAAATTTTTAAAAATTTAAAATTATATTTCATTTTTTTATTATAATTTAAAGGTGACCGTTGACATTAAAAAATTTTAAGCAATAGTTTTAATTGAGTAGTTGATTTGGTACATTTATATCTGTCTTAATTGACTTTATCAAAATGCTAATATTTTGTGCCACGTGGGCATTGCTTGCTTTGGTCCCACACATTTATTAATGCAAACGAAGGTTTTCTTGCGGAATCTAATTGACTTTATTATTTTTGTTTTTGAAAAAATTTGCAAGCCAATAACTCAAATTAAATACTGTTGAATTTTTAATTTTAATAATTAAAAGTTAATTTTTGAAATTTTTAGTAAAAATGCATCAATAATTAGGGTTCTCGTTGTACAAAAATATGAAACCTGAGTAAAGTTTTTTTTTTATTATTTTATAAACTTGATCTGCTTCTTTGTTACTTTTGAAAATTAAAAACCCAATGATTCAAATTTCCCTTTTATATGTTGAAAGCTATAAGCCACCCATTTTAAATGAGTGTCATTCAGCCAGTTTAATTCTACAACTTCTCAATATTTTAACCTTTGATTGTTTTTTTTTTTCCTTTTTGAAGGAATCTTATTATTATTAATTATTTTGGCTTTATTGAAATAATATGATTTTTTAAAAATTTAAATTTAAAAAAAATGAAATTCAAGGTTTTTAACATCTGTTAAAAAACAAGAGCGAAAAACCCCTCAAATGTCACCTTTCTAATCAAACATTGATCACTTCCAAAAAAAAAAAAATCGTTCTAAATCAAACATCTAGGTTTGAATAGTCAAGGAGTTTTGAATTTTTTTTTTAATTTTGATTTTGATTTTTATAAATAAAAAAATAAATATCGAGAGAATTTTTTTTTTTATAAAATTTGATTTAATTCGATTTAAAATTAATCAAAATTTAAAATGATTATTAAATATAAAAAAAAAATTTAAAAAGTTTTTATTATCTAACATGCCATTTTTTTTTAAATTAATCACTTCATTTTGAAAAATAATAGTAATAGCCAGGCGGCTTCAAAGGACTCTGTCCTTTTCTTGGTAAAAATACAATCCTCTTAATTTAAATTTTAATATAATTGATTTATTTACAATTTAATTGAATTGGTTCATTAGTTATATCTAAAAAAAATATTGAATAAATTTAAATTTTAAATATTAATAAATACATTTTTTTATCTCAACAACTTCTTTTATATAAAAAAAATTCCAATCAAATAAAAATTTCTCTAAAAATTTAATGAACATTCCCAATCCCACAACCACTTATAATTAAAACCAATAAATTAAAGGAACCATATTTCTGCTTAAAAGTCTCTCTTCCATTGCCTTATTAAAAGGGGAAAAAAAAATGCTTTAAAGGCAATTTGTTGCATTTGTGACGAAGTCAACTTCTTCGAATTTTTTTTACCGATTCTTAAATCCACCCCCAAACCTTAAATGAAAGCACCAAAAGATTATAAGTCCATTACCTCTTTTTAACATCTTTAAAAGCCAATTTTTTTTAATATGAGAGAAATCAAAGTTTTTTTATAAATAAATCAAGAAAGATATAAATGTAAATAATATAAAATTAAAAAATAAATAAATAATTGTTTTTTAAAAATAAATGATATAAAAAAATTTAAAATTACAACTTAATATAAATTTTTTTTACCTTTTTATATAAATTATCTCAAAATTATTAAATATAAAATTTAATTTATTATTGTTGTTTTTTCTCTTTCTGCCAAAGGTAACTAGGGTTTTTTTAAAAGCCGTATTTCTTTATATGAAGGATAATAGTATTGTGAAGAAATAAATTATGCAATTTCGAGAGCAAATAGTTGGGTGAGTATCGAAGTTGCATGGTAATCCTGCAGGCAGCTGGTTTCTTTTAACATCACCAGAGTGAGTGATTACCAGAAGGTGCCAAGTATTAACATAGCCAACTGCTTTTTGGATATGGTGGTTGTGCTCATCACGGGATGTTTGCGCTCTCAATCCCTGCCCTCTTTTTGCTGTGCAGGTATAGCATGGTGGCAAACTCTCCTCTGCTCTCTCCATTTCTGCCCAGCCAGCGCCACAACTTAGTGCACATTTGTCTATGTTTCTACACTTGTAAGAATGGGGATTTTTTTTGGGTCACTTCTCTAAACTCCACTGATTTGGACTTTAAAACCAAGATTATGGTGTAATCTGTGCCCTAATGAACAAAAGGAACCCATTTTTTTGGATCTTAAAAGGGCCAAGATTCTGGGTAAAGACATTGTAGGCAAATTAAAAAGACCCTTTTACTGTTACTTCATTGGACTATCATGGCTAACCTTTTCAGCTGGATTTAGGCCCACTATGTACGAAACACCTATTGGATGTTGGGCTTTCAGTACTGTTTCATTAAACAAGAAGACAATTTGTTCGTTCTAATTGGTACAAGAGGAGTATTGACAAGGGCAGCTATCACGCGCGCGCACACACGTGTATATATATATATATATATTACATTTACCTTTTATATATATAATGTGAACTTTAAAAAATTCTCAAAATTATATCTAAAATTATTAAAATTTTATTAAACTTTTAATAACAATTACTGAGTTATATCAAAGGTATTTAAAATTAAAATTATATTGAAATTTGTTGAAATTTATTAAAAATTATCAAATTTTTATAGAAAGTTATCAAATTTTAATAAAAATAAGTTATAAAAAATTATAAAAATTAATAAAATTTTATTAAAAATGATCAAAATCATATTTAAGATTATTAAATTATATAAAAATATGAAAATCAAAATTAATTCTAATTAAAAAAATGTAAAACAATTTGGCAATGAAAAAGAAAAACACTGACATTAAAAATAATATTAAACAAACATTTATAGCTCCTTTATAAGAAAAAAAAAAAAAAAAAGACATTCTCAATTAACATTTGCACATTTAATTGACAAAAATGCTCTTCATAAATGTGGACAATTTGGGGCCCACTACTATTTACTTGAGCCTTAAATTAAAAAAAAAAAAAGAAAAGGTTCAAACTAGTTACTCCGACACGGCGACGTTTTGGGAAATTTACCATCCGAACCAAATCCCAGAGTGACGGTTCTGGTTCCACAGCCCACAGGAGCAGTTAGGAAGTAAGGGCAAAACAGGGAAAAGAAAAGTTCAGAAAATGAAAGAAAAGTCTAGACCCCGCGCAGAACCGATTCCAAAATCTTTCGGTTCCCCTTCTCTCACTGTATGTCTCACCCGCTTTGTCCTCTCTCTCTCCCAGAGGAATCCAAGCGAAATTTCGAGAACACAGAATTGCTCATTGTTTTCCAGTGTGACCGCAACCGCGTCGTCAATCGTACGCTAGCTTTTACCTTATTCTTCACTGCCTGAGCCTTTGATCTGAAAGTGATGGCGGACGTGCATATGGGATCAGAGTCGGAGACCTTCGCTTTCCAAGCGGAGATCAACCAGCTCTTGAGCTTGATCATCAACACTTTCTACGGTAACAAAGAGATCTTCCTTCGTGAGCTCATCAGCAACGCTTCTGATGTACGTATATTGTTTTGTTTATTTGTTTCTACTTTGATATTTCTGTTTGTTTGCTGAGAAAGAAAAGAAGAAAAAGGAATTTTTCTTTCGAATTTAAGTTGCTTCTAATGTTATCTTGCAGCATTTAGCTAGGTTATCTACTACTGTCATGATGTTTCTTTATTTGTTTTCATAAATTTGTCTAGATTTTTAACAGGAAGGTGATTTTTGTGTGTGTGATACTTGTTATTGTCGTTTGGCTACCGAGAAAGAACTGAGGGAATTCTAATTTTGATATGTTATTTTCTATTGGTGATCCTTTTGGTTTGCCTTTTGGGGTTAGTGGGTAATTGATATGTTTGATTTAGAGATTAAAATGTTTTTGTTTCGGTTTTTCATAGGCATTGGATAAGATTCGATTTGAGAGCTTAACGGACAAGAGCAAGCTCGCTGCTCAGCCAGAGTTCTTTATCAGAATCATCCCTGGTAAAGCTAATAAAACTCTATCTATTGTCGATAGTGGCATTGGCATGACCAAAGCAGGTATATCTACAAGAATATTTTTTAGTCATTTTTTCAATAAGAAATTAGATAGTAAATTCGTTTTTACCTATTCAAATTGGAGATAGTAATTATGATGTTCTTGTTTAGATTTGGTGAATAATTTGGGGACAATTGCGAGGTCTGGAACAAAGGAGTTCATGGAGGCATTGCAAGCTGGAGCTGATGTCAGCATGATTGGTCAGTTTGGTGTAGGGTTTTACTCTGCTTACCTGGTAGCAGAGAAGGTGATTGTCACCTCAAAGCACAATGATGATGATCAATACGTTTGGGAGTCTCAGGCTGGTGGGTCTTTTACTGTCACCAGGGATGTGGGTGGTGAACCTCTTGGCAGGGGTACCAAGATCACCCTGTTCCTTAAAGAAGATCAGGCGAGTTGTCATTCGATGTCAATTTGGTGGTATATTTAATTATTTCGATGATTCTTAGTATTGATTTTTTGTTGTTTTTATATGTTGTAGTTGGAGTACTTGGAGGAGAGGAAGATAAAGGACCTTGTAAAGAAGCATTCTGAGTTCATCAGCTATCCAATTTACCTATGGACTGAGAAGACCACTGAAAAGGAGGTCAGTGATGATGAAGATGAGGAAACGAAGAAGGAAGAGGAAGGGGATGTGGAGGAAGTCGACGAGGATAAGGAAAAGAAGTCAAAGAAGAAGAAAGTCAAAGAGGTGACTCATGAGTGGCAACTTATTAACAAGCAGAAACCAATTTGGTTGAGAAAGCCAGAGGAGATTACAAAAGAGGAATATGCATCGTTCTATAAGAGTCTCACAAATGATTGGGAGGATCATCTTGCCGTGAAGCACTTTTCTGTTGAGGGACAGCTTGAGTTCAAGGCTATTCTCTTTGTACCTAAGAGAGCCCCGTTTGATCTCTTTGATACGAGGAAGAAGTTGAACAATATTAAGCTCTATGTGAGGAGGGTGTTTATAATGGACAACTGTGAAGAACTAATTCCTGAATACCTGTCATTTGTCAAGGGCGTTGTGGACTCTGATGATCTTCCTTTGAATATCTCTCGTGAAATGCTGCAGCAGAACAAGATTCTTAAAGTGATTAGAAAGAATTTGGTGAAGAAATGCATTGAGATGTTCTTTGAGATTGCTGAAAACAAAGAGGACTACACCAAGTTCTATGAAGCTTTCTCCAAGAACATCAAGCTGGGCATTCATGAAGACGGTCAGAACAGGGCTAAGCTTGCTGACTTGCTTAGGTATTATTCTACGAAGAGTGGTGATGAGATGACCCGCTTGAAAGACTATGTTACTAGGATGAAGGAAGGCCAGAAAGATATCTACTACATTACTGGTGAGAGCAAGAAAGCTGTTGAGAATTCACCATTCCTTGAGAAACTCAAGAGGAAGGGATACGAAGTGCTGTTCATGGTTGATGCTATTGATGAGTATGCTGTTGGGCAATTGAAGGAGTATGACGGAAAGAAGCTTGTCTCTGCAACTAAGGAAGGGCTCAAGCTTGATGAGGAGTCCGAAGAAGAGAAGAAGAAAAAAAAGGAAAAGAAAAAGTCGTTTGAGAACCTTTGCAAGACAATCAAAGAGATTCTAGGAGACAGGATTGAGAAGGTTGTTGTGTCTGACAGAATTGTTGACTCTCCTTGCTGCTTGGTAACTGGAGAATACGGATGGACGGCCAACATGGAGAGGATCATGAAGGCCCAGGCTCTGAGAGACAACAGCATGAGTTCTTACATGTCTAGCAAGAAGACAATGGAAATCAACCCAGACAATGGCATAATGGAGGAACTAAGGAAGAGGGCTGAAGTCGACAAGAATGACAAATCAGTCAAGGACTTGGTACTGTTGCTCTTCGAGACTGCTCTTTTGACTTCAGGTTTCAGCTTGGATGATCCCAACACATTTGCAGCAAGAATTCACAGGATGTTAAAGCTGGGTTTGAGTATCGATGACGAAGAAACTGCTGTGGCTGACGATGTTGATATGCCATCTTTGGAGGAAGAGAACAACGAGGAAAGCAAGATGGAAGAGGTTGACTGAGGAGTTAAAGACATAAATGGTCAATAATATAAGATGTATTCAATAGTATAGATGTGTGAGTGTCGTCGTTTTAGTGTAAACTTCGCTGGGTTCTGATGGTGTGGTTTTGTTCAGGTTTGTCTAATGGTTTGTCTTGTGGCACTACTATATTAATCTCAGTTTTCCCGCAATTTCATGTTTGGCGTCAAATGTTCTCCCAAGTTATTTACTCTTCTCATTTCGAACCACTGCAAATATTAAGCAATGACCTACAACAAATTTGCCTCGAAATCTTGTTTCGTTTGGTATGAAGTGTAATAGTAATTTCGTACTGCAAAGTTCACCGCGCATTGGTTCCGTAAAATTGTAGTCGGAAGTTCACTGTCCAGTTCTCACCTTTGATTCCAACACATTCTCCTGTAGTTTTTTGGGAAAATACAGCAAAGGCGAGGGCACAGGTGAGGCAAATAGAAGGGATGAAAAAAAAAAAGGGTTATGGTAAATGTTCTGGTTCATGGCAAATGATACAAGACATCCAGAAAGCAAATTGATCTGTGCTGCTGTAAGTCGAACGATGAAACGTTGTCAGTGAGTATTCATGAAACGTTTACAGATCGATTGTAAACAATTAAACGTCCTGAGTATTAATGAAAAATAAGCCATTATACCTATCGAGAAAGTAGCCCATTAAATTCCATGTTAATAATCTTCCAAAATTGAGCTGCACATCTCAAGTACTGAATTATTTACAACTCCTGATTTTGGATATCACATGCTTATGATCGCATTGTTCTATGTGCCATAATGTCTTGAATAATAAAAAGGTGATTATAACTGTGCCTACTTGAAACCAAAAAGAAGAAAACGATATATAGATATCTCAAGCACTTATCGCAACAATAAAATGTGCATACTGATCAGATCTAAGAAAACATTGTTCTAAATTCCAAATAAATGAAGCAAGGAGAAGCGATATTTTATATGCACCAAACAACTAAAATTATCAAACACCGAGGCATTAGACAGGTACTTCTATTAACTTCAAGTGCCAATAAAGCTAAAGTGACAACCATCTGTCAACAAAAAGTATCCTTTCAAGGTAGAGCTGCACCGCCTGCAGGGCCAGCACCATAACCACCACCTCCACGACCAAAGGCAGGCCTTGAACCAGGGCCCTGTGTATTCACAAGTTACAAATTACATAAGGTTTTCTGCTTTGAGAAAAATAACCTGATTGAGATGGTTGATGCCTAGGCATGACAACCAGTATTTGATGGCATCTTGAAATAAATGGGCAGATTATTCAAGTAATCACATGAAAATTGCATTCTTCAAATTCAAATAACTACATCTCTTATGCAAAATCTCTTTCCAAGCAGTCCTAGGGCAGGGAAAAATGAAATTAAATGGCAGAAAGTAACATTAACATCATAGTGACATTCACAGCTTATATTAAGCCACTCACATACGTTAGCAACTCATTTCCAACACCTATTTTCAACCAATTCAAAATTAAGCTGGTTCAACAGAACATTGAAATAACAAAAGGCAAACAAATGATTCCAAAATCGGCTAAACACCGAAAACCTTATAAAACAAGCCAAACTTGTAAAATGTAAACAATACAATTGAATCAAGTGATAACAAAGAAACAGAGAAAGCAATAATCAGGGGTTACTATATGTCATCTATTAATATGAAGAGGAAAAGTTTCAAAATTATTCAAGACAAAATTACCCTGAATGAAGGCTGATAATCAGCAGGAGCTCCTCCCTTGTCACCAAAATCACCCCCTCCTCGTGGACCTCCACGGTAGCCATCTCTGTCACCAAATCTCCTCTCACCATCAAAGCGTGGTGGACCACTGATTCATAACCCAACAAAACCAAAAGAAATATTACCAAAGCAAGAAAATTTCAACAACCTACATTAAAAAAAAAATCATTTTTATTAAATCAAAGGGCAAAAAAACCAAAAATATTACCGTGGGCGGTCACCAGGAGGACCCATGGGACGACCAGCAGGCTTAGTTTGTTTCTTCAAAGTAGCAGGAACAATCTCAGATGGAAGATTAAGGTAAGTCCTCAGGAACTCAATGCCATCATTGGTAAGGTACCAATAATAATGCATCCAAGCAAAAGTTTCACGCACGTATTCCTTTGATTTGAAGCTTTGCATCAGCTTTATTACTTGAAGATTTGGAACATCGATTTCTGGGTGCTTTGCCATGTTGTAATCTTTCTTTGCATAGCAAACACCCTCTGGTAAGAAAAACATAAAAGAAAAGCCCAGATTTTAAATCCAAAGATCTAAATGAAACATGGGAAAGCTGAAATGTGGATAGGATTTTTTATTTGGTTACCTTGGAAGAGGTACTTGGAGATCTCGCGGCGATTCTTTTCTGGAATAATCTAGGAATCAAGAAAACAAACAAATTAAAGACATTTTCACAGAAACCAAACAAAGAGATAGAGAAAGAGAGAAAGTTACCATGGCTGCAATGAGAAAAGATGCAGCAGCGAAGATAGTCTGCCAAGCAGGAGGCTATTGTCTCACTGCTCTCTTATGGCATCTAACAAATCTAACAATTAATAAACAATTGATTTATGACTAGGGTTTTTAGGGTCTTTTTCTTAGGGTTGGGTTTTAAGCTTTTGGTTGTGTGCATTTTGGGCTTAAAAAAAAAAAAGAGAAGAAGATGAAAAAAAAAATTATGTTGTCATGACTCAACCCAAAATTACCTTATACAGCCCAATCACTTTTGGATAGACCTAGATTTAGAAGCCTCTAAAGACCCAAAACCAATTTCAACCTAACAAGTAAGAAAAATTTTTTATACATAATTTTTTTGGTATTTTCCTACTTAATATGTATAAATTTAATTTATCTATAACTTATATTTATTTATAATTATAGTGAATTCAATATTCAAGGGATCCATAATAAAAAGTTTATGAAATCTTTTAAATATATTTTTTTTCTTCATTTACTCTTCTATTTACTTAAATATTTTCTTTCGAAAATTTATAATTTAAAATAGGAATTATAAGCTGAGTAAAATAATAAGTTTAAATTATATAATTAGATTATGCCAAGCAAGAGAGACGATCCAAATGATAGTGCCACAGTCATATTAATAGAACAGGATTGCAAGAAAATATTTACAGAGAAAAATCATTGTGTGTAAAAGTGTACTACAATAATGTAATTTGAATTTTACTTTAATAAGATAAGAAGAAGAAAGGAACTGAGATTAATAATGGTTAAAGTTTCTTTTAATCATCAGGGGAAGTACTGATCAAATTAATGGAGAATTGAGGTTGATGATAATGAGATCAAAGTATATAAGTTTCTATATATGATTTCATGAACATGTCATATTAAATATTTCTTGAAATTTAGCAATGAGACAGATGTGATTAATTTCATGAACAGGAAACACTATAATTCTACAATTGTTCAATGTGACATAATATTCTGCTGCTGGTTGCTTCAAAAGAGGGGAAAGGTCCAGCACAACAGAGACAATCAATAACTCAAAAAAAAATCTTCTCTCTCTCTCTCTCAAATTAAAAGTGAGCAAAAATACAGCATACCAACTCAAGTCCTAAAGTAAACAAATCAAATGGGAAACTTAGATTTTATTCATATTTAAATTAGATAGGGGGTCAGGGGAGGTAATAATATTACATATTTTGACAGCTTTGATTGAAGCATTTTGGAATCCCTTCTTAGGTGAGAAAACATCTTTTTGTCATATCAAAAGAAGCCCAACAAAGTGATTATGGCTTGGTAATGGCCGACAAATGGTATAAGTGTTAATGTATATATCAGGCCTAGTGGACAAAAGACAACCTTTTCCCACCCCTCAATCAACTTTTAGGATCGATCGATCGATCGATGCAGAAGGCAATTCCTCCTGGAACTGATGGTCCTATCTCATAATTCCAAGCTTGGGTTTTATTTGTTTTTACATTCATAAATAATTCTCTTCACCCATATTGCATTCAAGACCTTGCTAGCCAGCCCCCCATTACTGCATGTCTCATTGATTTCTCCACACACACCCACACACATATATGTACGTCACATACAGTGATGTGGAAAAGTTCTTCAGGTTGACATTTAACCGAGTTTGTGGCAATAAAACTTGTGGAATTTTCGATCGCCTGGAATGGCATGAATTGTTAAACCAGTTTCAGTTTTCAGGACTATTCTTCCCATTAATTAAGCAAACCTTTGAAGCAATTGACAATTGCACTAGGTGACGAAAAAAAATCATAAAAACTTATTTAAATGATGATATGTCTTGGCTTCAGGCCTAGCTATAACAACTTCAGCTATAACTTCAAACCTAGTTATGATTTCACGAGGTGATCAGAAAAAAACAAGATATGGAACTATTGACTATAGGCCATGGATAAGACTGAAAAATGAAATGCCAACAAGGATAAACGTTTCTGCTTAAGCAACTGATAATTCATCAGGAAGACAAGTAGACCACTCAGTGATCATGAAAATTTGACAAACAAAATAACAGTACTACCTTGTAATATTACGTCTGCAGCTAAACAGAAACATGACTATTTATGAAAATTATATGCTGTCTTTAACGTAGTTTTCTTGAGTGTCTCATTATATGTCTTTTTGTCGAAAGCTATGATGGAAACTGTAAAATCCAAGAATTTCCATATTGTATGCATGTGGAGATCGCTATCGTTATAGAATATGTGAGCAGTCAAGATCGGTGCACAAATTTTCTGGTCAGCTGCCTGGCAATATTAGCCATACACTATACTTTCAATGTTTAATGTAGACTGTAGAGTTAGAGAAAACATCAAAACAATCTTAATTAAGAAGTAATTGTAGTTTCCCTCCCAATGCACATTGGTTAGAACTATTCAGAATCATAAAATCTTGAACATTCAACAAATATAGGGGAATTGGATCGAATTAATAAGAGTTATCTCATTAGCACCAAACTTTTTCTGGCTGTTACATTGCTTTTTATTCTTCCCTTTTCTGTTTTCAAACACCAAGAAGAAAAAAAAATCATGCATACTTATGTTGCATTCCCTCACATTTCACAAGCTCATGACCAATAAAGTTACAAAAAGCAGAAAGGAAAAGAAAAGCAAACTGCTTTTTCAAAAACCTGGAACATTTTGAAAGCAACTCAGCTGAGATCAAAGACCGAGAAAGCAAAGGTGGGGGAGGGGGCGAGACAGTTTTTTTTTTTTTTTTCACCACCATTAATAATTTATAGAGATGAAGGGAATGAAGATAGTGTAGTTCCCATATTTGATGAAGTTGGTTCTATTGCTTCCCCACCAAGTTGTCCTTCAATATTGTCCCAGAGCAGAAAGTTTGAGCACTGCTGGGATTCAACCCATTCATTAAACTCCTGCTGCTGTCTCTGCAAGCACTCAAGTGTTATTTCTCCTTCCTCTTCAATGCTACAAGATTGGACTTCAACAGGCACCATGTTTTCCATGTTCTCTACCAATGGTGGCAAATAATTATTTATATCCATACTGGTTGTGAAAGAAGTTGAAGGAGGAAATACTTGAACTTGATGCTGATTGAGATTCCAAGTCTCGGTGTTTAAATTAGCTGATTCATGAAAAAGCTCTCCTCTTACATTAGCATCTTGAATCCCATCAAGTGGAGTTGTGTCAAACATAAATAATGGGGCTGAAGAAGAAAATAGGGTTTCTTGAGCAGGCACTGCCCTTGTCGTCAAGTCCTGATTTACTAACTCTAGTTGGTTTGAAGCATAATTTATCTGGGAATGCTGATCAGTACTGGAAGCAGTGTTAGTTGGAGGTGCTGAAGGTTTTCGTATCTTCTTCTTGATCCATGAATTCCAGTAGTTCTTTATCTCATTGTCTGTCCTTCCAGGCAAGTGACTTGCAATGTGAGCCCATCTACAATTCCCTCAGATATATCAGAAATTGAATAACATCCATTATCCAGAAGAAAAAATTAATAACTTTGGAGAAGAAATGGGAGAAAGTATTCTATACAGAAGGAAAAGAAACCGACGTATTTGCTTAAGGGAATAAGAAGGGAAATTACGAAAAGATAATCAAGAATTTGAAGATGTTAAAGATGTGATTTCCAGCTTAAAACTTGTGTTTCAATATCTGACGTTGTCTTTTTAACGCCCTTGAAATGCCGGTGACAAATGCTTTAGCAACTACTTAAACAGTAGTTATCGAGCTTGCTTTCTATCTAGCCATTACTTGAGCAAAAATCTAGACATTTGAACAGAAGACTTAATGTTGAAGTTTGTTTAATTAAATACTTGACTTCAGTTGATTTTTATCTTTAACCGTTCAGGTTCTTAATACACACCACCCGAAACTCTTAAGAATTTCAGAGTCCGGCACCATTAGACACAACCCAGAATTGTTACACCATGGAACTTTAAAGGATAAACAAAAAAAAAAAAGAAGCATAGATAAAGTCACTTTAAACCTGTTTCCTACAACCCCGTGAAGGCTAATAATCAACTTCTCTTCCTCAGAAGTAAACCTGCCTCTTCTAATATCAGGCCTCAAATAATTAATCCATCTCAAACGACAACTTTTCCCACATCTCTGAAGACCTGGAAAGTGGAAAAATAAATGCCTTGATAAAATTATAAAAACATGCAGAAAAAACGCTTACCAAAAGTATAAAAAGGAACAAAAAAAGAGATACATAAAAGGTGATGATGATCAGAGAGATGGAGCAGTGAATATTCACCAGCTTTCTCTGGGACTTCACTCCAACACCCATAGCCATGAGTGTTAATGTATCGAATGAGCTTTTCATCTTCCTCAGGGGACCAAAGGCCTCTCTTGACCTTTTGTTGATTGCAGCAAGAATGGTGACCCATGTTTAATTTGGATGACAAATATCCTTTTTTCTTTGTAGTATTAAGTAAATATGCTTCCACACCTCACTAATTTCTAGCTTTTGCTTGTTCTTTGTTGTTGCATACAGAAGAATAATGATATAAACTTCTTAATGATCGATTTTTTTTTAACAAAAACTATAATTCTTTGGAGTTTGCGAGAAGTGGAGGCTCAGTCTCACCGCCATTTAAAAGTAACAGAAGTACAAAATGATGATGTGCCGACATTGAAACCGGATGGGGTCCATTTACAAAGGGACCCAAAAATATTTCATCTAACCCTAAAAGGACATTTCATCGGCTTCTATTCACAAACACAGCGAGACAGAGAGTTACCATTTTCTACGTAGAATTGTATTACGTAACCCATGTTTCACGTACCCTTCATCTTCTTTCAAAATCTTTTGCCGGTTGTTTCACTGACCCTTTTTTCTCTCCATCTTTATATCATTTCTGTCATTCTAGGGTAACTCCTCTTACCAAAGAATGAATGTTATAATCGATTATTTGACAGCCAATGGATCGACAACACGTACGTCATGTGAAAATCATTGGAAACGCCGCAAAGTGTTGTAATCGCGGAAGCTTGCGGCATTTTTAAATGAAATTAAGGGTTAAGAGAGAGGAGGATCTTCTACATGGCATTGGAAATATGTAGGGTTCAAGAAAATTACTATTACTGCTGCAAATTTTTAAGCAGAGGATTATTCACCTAAAAAAAAAATTAACCAGGAGTTCAAGTTGATGAAAGCTTTACAAAAAAAGTCCAAGACCGTTTATGAGAATGCAGAGAGAGATGTGGAAATACAATGTGTATAACTGAAGGAATGATTGTAATACAAGACTTTCATTCAGTTAGCAGACAATTGCAGAACTTATGAAAATGAAATCACTTAATTTTGATTTTTCTTCATACTTACTTATGGGATAATACATATCAGCTGTTCAAGACAAGACCTCATTTCTAATTCTTTGTTATCATGATCATTTTTATTCTTATTTTCATTGTTTTACTAATCTATCTTGGTGATGCTTGCATCACGTAACTCATGAATTCCAAGTCATATATATAATTTCAGACAATGGAAATTGCATCTTTAATTTAGTTTTTTTTTTGTTTGCTCCATTAAAAGGAAAAAGAAAAAAAAATTTATTTGTTTGCTCCATTTATGTGCAAATAACATGATCCAAATATATATATATATATAGAGAGAGAGAGAGAGATATATATATATATAGAGAGAGAGAGAGCATGAGAAGGACGAACTTAAAATTTGTTCCTTTCCTATTTAATTATGTAAATTATTACTCAGATTAATCTATGCTCTTAATTTGTTTGACCCATTTTTTCTTTTTTGCTTTATTAACAAGAAAAATAGTGTTCATTGTCTAAGAAGATCTGCCAATACGTAGGTTAATATCACACAATCCAATTGGTTGTTTGATTCACAACAACTCTTCTTGATGAGACCCATCGAATTGAATTCGAATTAATTAATCCCTTTTTGTGTGTTAACTTAAAAATTAATCATAAATTTTCCCAATACTCATATTAAACTCTATTGATCAAATTTTCAACAAAAAATTAATTGTTTGCTCTTGTCAATTAATTTAATGCTTTTTTTAATCGCTGCCACGTTTAGAAGGTGGAGCTTGTTATCAAGTTCTTACGTTTTTAACATCGGCTGGATTGCATCTATTTTCCTTTTGGTTTTTTTCTCAACTGTGAAAACTCAATCATGGATATCATATACCACAATAACTCACTAACATTAATCACTAATAAGATGTGTAAGTTTTGTCCTCTTGGAGAGACTGCCGGCAGGATACTTTTTTTATATTTTTCTATCGTATGGTCCAATTTCTGCTATGAAATAATTAAAATAACAATCTATAATCACACAAACTCAACATAGATTTCTTGTACTAATGTTATTCCTACGTACAACCCATGTTAATCATTTCTTTAAACAAACTTGGGCTAAGATTCTAAATGATTTAATTTCAACTGTTCATAAAAATTGCTTTCCCTGACCTCTGTGTGTGTATATATATATATATATATATATATGTATGTATACCAAAATCGACATCTTTGAAGTATTAGATTTGGAGACATCATTTTGGTATACTCTGATAGATTCCGATATATACGTTAAAGTGTCATTGTTCTTTGTTTCTTTGATCACCCAAAAACAACATTAAACAGCAAAAATAGCTAGGAAACTAGAGTGCTTTAGGATTAATTGTCTAAACGTGTACTGTACTCAATCATGGGGTGAGTGTACTGTACATTGGCAATGATTAAAAAATGGGTTTTTCGTCTTGAGATACATCAAGATTAGTTAGAACATTAAAATAAATTCTTGGGTACGTATTTCTCAATCTGTGTGGTTTTGTGAAGTGTGACAAACGATTTTTATACATACGTAAATGGATAATTAATATTGATATTAGCATATTTTTTATAGATGGTTTGAAGGGAGAGGATGAGGGCGAAGGGGTTTCTGTTGAATGATGCCAATCATCTCACCATATTTGATGTGAAAAATGAAAGGAAGTGACAGTTGCTTGGATGCATCGCAAGCCAAACTTGGAAAGTAATATACGAATCATTTTTAAAAAAGACCTTTAGGGGCCGGGGCAGGAATTGAAAAGTGGGAATGATTATACTTAGCTTTAAGGAGGAGCAATGGAGTGGCGAAATGGGCCTACCATTGGGAATTTAAGAACTGATTATCAAAGAAAAATATGGGGACTTTGCCTTTTAAAGCATGGTTGGTTAAGTTATTAAGTCATGGATGTAATGTCCCTACCATGGGCTATTTTACTTAGATGTGGTCCTTATGGGGGTTTTAACCCCGTTTTCTTCAGTTTTCACCATTAATATATATAATAGTTATTCAATAATCTGCATCTTCTTTGTCACATACGCTATATATATATATATATATATATATGTTTTTTTACTCTTCAGTCCCTGCCCCCACCATAAATCTTCTCGTCGACCTTTCTCCTTCTTTGGTTCCCATTCTTACCCTTCATGCTTAATCCTTCTATGGTCCCCCATTTTCTTGAATTAGTATTTTTCATCTTTTAAACTCTCTCTCTTCCTTCAATATTTTGTTTTATAGTTGATATAAATTAAACTTATTTAAATATATAAAAGTTAAAGTCTCTAACAAAAAAAAAATAATTTGATGTAAATAATCTACATTTTCGACGTGTAAACAATCTAAAAAATTGACATATGTTCTTTAATAAATGTATTTTAATAATTCAAAAAAATAAATTAAACAAATTTATTTTACTTGCCTTAAATAATTTTCATTTAAATTTATAAAAAGGGTAATAAAAGTTTAATTGCCATTAAAATATATAATAATTTTGTTAAGACCTTTTTTAATTATAAATTTTCAACTTTAAATTATATTTGTGTAAAAAAATTCACTTTCTTATATTCAATTCTACTTTTTGAGATATGAATAGGTTTTCATTGTCAATCCACAATTTTTTTCATTGACTTTTTAATTAATGAATGTAATTTTGATATTTAATAAGGTAATATATTAGCCTAAATAAATATATAAATCATTTCATATCAAGAATTCAAATAAACATAAAAGCTTAATTATTTTTAAACATATTTTTTGCTATATATTAAATAAGTGTCTTTTTTTAGGAATCATACTACAAGTGATTAATTACTGTATAAAATATCCTAGTTTGAAGGCATAATTTACTCATAATCAAAAGTTTTTAAAATATAAAATGTAGATTTTTCAAAATAAAAGCTAAAAACATGTTGATAATTAAATAACCTAATATAATTTATTTGCTTAAATTATACCAAATTTTACAAGAGTTTTCCTATTATAAATAGAGAATCATCGTATACTAAAATTATTTAAAGGTTCACCAAAACCCTCTAAATGTATTTGTTTAGTTGTAATTAGGTAATCTCTACTTAAAAAATTCCATTAAATTTTTTATATAGTAACCAATGATTTTCATTTTTAGTTATTTTTAGTTTGATTTAGTTTTCAATCAATATTAATAATATAAATGTATTGTTTTTACTTTAGGTATTGTTTCTCTTTTGTTTACTTTTTTCAACCAATAAATGTTTTTATTTTATTATATTTGGTATTAGTTCTCTTTTCTTTATCTTTTATGAATATTCAACTAAACTTCATTTATAATTTATTCATTCTTAATGATCTTAAGTTATTTACTTTCCTATTGGCTTGAATTTCATAGTGGCATGAATCACTCTTTGATTTCAAATATTGTATCTAAAATTTTTATAATACAACAAGATAAAATTTTCACATTTCATGAAACAAGGAGGAAAACATAATTTTTTTATTTACTTTCATTTTAAGATTTTGCCTTTCATTTTTAGTTTTTTCAAACATCATGTTTATTTACGTTTAATATATGTGGTTTTATTTTATTATATATTTTTTGTTTAATTTGCTTTGTATGAATCAACAACATAATTTTTTTTTTGATACAGCGTCATAAGTTTTAAATTAAGATGTTAATTGTTTTCACTTTTGCCATGAAAGGATGCCTTTTGTCAATAATTTTGTTGTGATCAACTATTTGTTCATGGTTAATTCAATTGCTATTGAATAAAAGAATTAAATAAGAAATATGTGGTGTTTAATGTGTATTTTCTAATATATGCATTATTATTTGATGATTTAAAAATTTTAAAAATAATAACTTAGACAATTTTGCTATTTAATATTTAATATGATTCATAACAAACAATTAAATAAATTTTATTATTAATGAAAATTGTTAAAAGACAGAAGTAGCTCTTTATTTTCAATTTTATAATATATAACAAGATAAGTAATACAAATTTTAAGGTAAGTGATACATTTATTTTCACCAAATAATTCAAAATCATTGATTCAATATAACTTTATATTCAACATTTTATCATGCACTTTTTTTACAATATTTGTATTTTAATTTTTATATTT